CCAAAGAGGAATTGTCCAAATCAAAGCCATAGGGCCAGAGAACTGTAATATTTAACAAGCTTTAGAGTTTTCATAATATTCCCAATGTCCTCTAAACATAATTTTACAGGTTTCCTCGTCTGTACAAGAAATCAACTTCATCTGAACTGTTCTGCATGACTAAAAGATGGGCTGAACCCTCCTTCATGGCAATGTCAGCAGAATGAGAGTAACTTCATAACGATATCAGATCTTGCCCACACAGTGGTTTCCTTACTTATACATTTAATTACAAGAAAAAGTATTGTTTTTCTGAATATAGAAGTGATTTGACTACCAGCAGACATCTTTGTCTGCTTGGTGATTGCCAGGTTCCGTATTAGACCCATTACTTTTCAATGTCTGTATCAATGACAAATGTGATGAACTTAGTGGCTGTGGTGGAACAACGGGTGCATGGTCGGCACAAATAGCACTGATGTTGTTAAAATACCAATGATGATTAATGCGAATTCACACTTATGAATATATACAGAATGCTTCAATTTCAGGAAAATCGTTGGATAAACAGTCCTAAATGCTAAACAAATAAAACTATTCACACAGGTAAGTGCAACAAGTAAATAACATGACTATTAGATTTAGCTTTAAAACTATTTAAAGATAATACTCACAGCAAACAACATATTTGCAGGTCATCGGCGACATCATGCCTCCAGCATCAGAAACTTCAATTGTAATCTATGTGGCAGGTGAGGCTGGTAAATCACCTCAGATGATTTGCATGTGCTTTATCAAAGACCGGAATTTACAAGTCAATGGGTTCCTTGACATTGAGGCATCGTTAAGTCTCTCTAGAAGACTGCAGGTCATCGCATAAGGAAACGGTAAATAGTGGATGGGAAGCACATTTTCTCTGGCAGCCTTTCAGGAAATTCAGTTGAAATTTGCGCAACGTGCGGATGGAAACATGACTTGATCTGAAATGTGACAAAGGACCTCATTTATCACTGCTTTCTTTCTCAAGTTAAATCCAGGGGGTAAATTCCAATTTTTGAAAAGTTAAGAAAATGTGAAGTGCCTTAAACCTGCATTCTTACTAATAGTCAGCAGGGGGCAACTCCTCTGGTTGTAAAAAGAAGTCAGATTGTAGAGAACTTTATGAGAAAATGACCCTACTTGAAATGCGTGAAATGCCCAACAAGTTATCTTAAAAGAAAAAAAAGAACTTTAACCCATTCACAGTGTGTTTCCAGGTGATGAATGCCAATCGGAAACCTTTTGGTCATTTAAAAATGTCTTATTCCATGTTCAGCTGTACTTAGCTCCACTCTCTGGTGTCTCTTCTGGTTCCAAAAAACAACTTGGTGAAGGCCAAATTGCCAAACTCAAGGCCTTAAAACTGTAGTCAAACCAATGGGACACCACAGTTACATCACACTTCCTCTTCTTCTTCTTATACAGTCTATGGTTTAATCCTCAACAATATTTTTTTGAATTTATGATTTTGTGTAAAATCGTAATCTGCAAAGTAACCAGTGACTCCAGTTGTCAGACGAATATAGTGGAGTATTATATTTCCCACTGAAATGTAGTGGAGTAGAAGTACAAAGTAACTGGATACACTCAAATAAAGTTCCTTGATATTGCACTTGATTACAGTACTTGAGTAAACGCACGTGTGTGCGTGTTTGACTAACCAAAAAAGATATTTGACTAACCAAAAAAGTTAGTCAAATCTTACTGTGTGCCTCTGCTGCCTGCTACTTATTAAACACTAGACATGTGCTGCTCTTGTTCCGCATGAAAACGTTAGCGAGGTTAGCCGTAGCAACGACCTCTGAACCCCCAAAAACCCAGGTTTGAAAAGCATGTGTTCTATTGAAAAAATAACCCAAAATACACTTTATTTTATAAAAGACAGGAATTGAAAAAAAAGCAATATTGGTGGTATGTGGCGGTGAGAAGTAGAAGCAGGCAACGGAAGAGAAGTGACGAGCTGCTTACAAATGGTGCATACAATCAGTGGCATGTGTAACTGGCAGTTTGTACTGTGAGGGCTTTAAGCCAGTAGAGCAGTAGTGGCATACTAACAGTCAGTGACATGCCTTCCAGAATTATATTGCGATGTCTGTAGAAAACGTGAAAAAAATAGTCAAATAACAAACAGCAATCTTTCCCCATGTAAAACGAGACGTCAATAATAATTTATTCACCATGGCAAATGTTGCAAGTGTTACTGCACTTACCAAGTTATTTCAACCTAAACGACGATCTGCTCCTAAACCTAACCAAGTAGTTTTGTGGCCTAATCCTAACCAAGTATTTCACCATCTTTTCCTAAACCTAACTAAGTATTTCACCATCTTTTCCTAAACCTAACTGAGTTGTTTCCTTTGACGGAAGTTTATTTTGAAAAGCCCGTATGCATGTAACGAGCGGATATTGAAACTTTCGTGGGACAATGCACACAAATTAAGTGTTTTTTTCTTAAGCTATTATTCGAACCGTTGTAAAGACACATGTATTTATAAAATCCTTTAACCAGTGTCAGAAAAGACACAAAATATGGAACGATTGCATATTTGATAAACTGGAGTTACAAAAAACAAATGGCAACAAAGCAAAGTTATAATATTTATAAGTTTATACTGTTACTGTTATAACAGAGCTGTGTGTGGGTATGTGTTGGTTGACACAATTATGTTGTGTAGTGACAAGTGAGGATGACTGGATCCTTCTCTCTCCTCTCTGTCAGTATCTCTATCTCACACACACACACACACACACACACACACACACACACACACACACCCTACTGGCAGACTGTAATTTGCGTGCATTTCAGGGAGAAACAGCCCCTGCTTAATTACTGCCATGCTAATTGAATCCCAGTGTGAGTGATGTCTGGGGACAGGACTCTGTGACAGAATGAAAATGAAATAGTATTTAGCAGCCACGGAGATAATCCATTTAGGAATGTCTGGGAAACGAGAAGGATTAGTGGCTCGCTTGTCACAAGACATCAAAGTTGTTTGAGATCTAAAATGTTTTCATTCTCAGTCTCTTTACCAGATTTCTTAAAGACAGTTCCCCACAAAATCATAAATACATATTCCTTGTTATCTGGAGTACCATTTAACAATCGAGATTGTTTCAGTGCGGGTCGACGAGTGTTGGAGATATCGGCCGTAGGGATGTGATGGGACTAGATGGTACTCGGCTTGTCAAAGCGCCAATAAAGAATATGTTTGAAAAATGTCTCTGTCCATAAATCATCCTCAAGACAATCCCAAAAAATTGTGAGCAGTTTCATGAAACCCGTCTACGGCTGATGTCTCCAAAACCAGGCAACTCGCACTAAAACTATTTGGATTAATGAAAAAGCACTACAGGTAAGAAGAATATGTTTTGATTTTGGGGTGAACTGTCCCTTTAAGTCTCTGACAAACTAAACAAACCCGGCCAAGGCACTTCAGAACATATCGTCACCATTATTCATTCATTCATTTTAGGGACAGAATATTTTTTATTGCACTTTCACATTGAAATAAACACAGCACTGCTTTCGCTTCCATGTAGAACTATTTGCATCAAAATAAGACTTAAAATGAGTCATCTTCACCTGAACTCATGTATTTTATGAATCAAAAACACAAATGGCCAGTATTAATAAGGCCTACACATAACATTTGGACCTGTTTATGCATTTTCAGATCATTTAAACTGTCATAAAACTAAAGTATATTATCGTAATCTCTACTTTGCAGCCTCGAGGAGTAATCCATCTAGTGGGCTGCTTAGGTACTGCCAAAGGTACAAAAATGGTAAAACAATTTTTTTGTGGAATTCACAAAGCTAATTATTTTCATATTTAAATGTGATCGAAAATGCACAAGAATAAAATGCATAATTTCAGTGACCAGTTACGTTTCAATGTCATGTTTGGCGTGTCAGCGCTTGTCACCACGATCTCATCACTACGAGTCTGACTTCAGTGTGATCCCTTTGTTACCGCGTGCAGCAGAGCAGACCCTCCGCCAATTACCGTTGGCTTGGCTCATCTGTTGCCGGGGGCAACGCAACCCGCAGAGGAAGGAGGGGCGCTCGTTTCCGCAGGTGATCTGTGGACACAAACCAACACACCGGCCTCTCTCCCACAGGCGATATGCAGAACACATGCAGGGAGTGTGGACGTCACCGCTGCCTTTTACTGTCCACTTTATCGGCTCTCATCTTCTCTGGCTCCCCCTCCCTCTCCTTCCATCATCTAGTACTCCAACCATGTCCTCGGCCTTCCCTCCCTTGTGTCTTTTGTTCCTCTCTCTGTCTCCTATCTTGTGTGTCCCTCTTCCATCTTTCCTCTCATCGTGTCTCCCTCTCTCTCTCTCTCTCTCTCCCCCCCCCCCCCCCCTCCCCTCTCGGCCCAGCAGGCTGCAGATGGTGCTTAATGGACGCATAACCGAGCGTAACTGCCTCGTGAATTATTCCACAGGCACAAGGTGAGCCATAGGACAGCTCCATATGCAGTAGCACAACTACAGCAAGTATAGCACGTAACATATCAACCCAACTCTAAGGGTTCTTTCTACTCATTAACACGTCCTTTAAAAGTGAACCCCCTACATTTGAACAATCAAGGTTTAACCGTGACGGACGGAGAAGATAAACTTTCTGGAATCTGTATTTGGCTGCCTTCGCGTTGGGCTTACGAGCAAGGCAGTTCCTGGTTATTTTAGTCCCGGGACTACTTTTCAAAGAGCTAAAAGGTTCCTTCTGCCCATTGCAGTCCAAAGACCTGCGACTGTTAGTCAGATTAGTCCGCTGATGAGTGAAGAAGGAGCCTGACACAGGAGGAGGGCTGCTGGTGGCCGCTGGGTTAAACGCACTCTGCAGTGTATGAACGCAAACAAGTAGCTTTCATTTAAGATCAGTTTGTAGAGTTCTGCTATTCAATGGCAGAGCCACATTAAATCTTTGATTTGCTAAACAATAAAACATGGAATCCTCCAAGACGGGTGAATGCTTTTTTATTGACACAGTATATAATATTTAAATATTGAGGAAACAGAACTGAAATCTGAAATACCCATTGAGACTTATTGAAAAGGCTGAATATGCAGCTCCATATATTTCAACATTTCATTGGCTGGACGGAGCAGAGGAGGAGTTTCCCTCTCACCTCGTAGGTCCACTGCATGTTTGCTGCCTGGAGGAAGTGGAGAGAGCTGTCAATCACAGAATGTCTGAACATCGTTAAGTGTGTATGTATGTGAATGTTTTTTTGGTTTTTAAAGGAAACTACAGATAGAAAGAAAAGTCAATGAAATTATGAGAGTATAAATCATTTGCATACCTGGATGGTTAGTCTTGCCGTGTGCTGGCGGTGTGTGCTGGGTGTGAAGGACACAGTGATGAGGGCTCCGGTAGAACCGACAGGAGGCAACATCCCCGAGGCCGGAGTCACCATGAAATCATTGCTGCCGCCTGGCAGGAAGGCTGCAGTGAACGGCTCAGGCCTCCTGGAATGGGAACGGAAGCCACTTTTCCCCACAAGTACTTTCTCGGGGGACAGAGAACCCTGAACCCTCTGAACCCCAAAACCCTCCGGCGGGATTGAAAAGCATGCGATCTTTAAACAACGGCCAAAACAACACAGTTTATCATAGCCGGAAGCTGTATGGCATGGTAACTGAGTTACACTGCACAAAGCTTTTAGTTTTTGCCACTTCTAGCCATGACTGTGCCGTTTCCATAGAGGTGCAGGACTTATGGATTGCAATTAAAACCAAGGCCACAGAGAGTAAAACCTCACAGGAGCAAAAAAACACCCTCAAACGGCTTGGAGTTTAGAGGGTTAAATGATCTCGGGTACTTAAGATATCGACCAGAGGACGGAGGGGATACATTTAGTTCCTGGTGCTAACAACTTTTATTTTATTGTTAGAGAGGTAGTGAATCGTAGTTTGTATACAGTACCAAAATCAGAGGCGAGTAAACACACCTGGTGGTGCTGGTCAGACGGAAGCCCACGGCTGAAGTCTTTCCCAACTCAGTGGCTTCAGTGGGGATGACATCGTCCGCTTGAGGCTCTGTGGAGATGAGAGTGATGGGAAACTCCCAGATCCCCCCGGACACACAACGCACAGCGAGGACCGCTGAGCGCCTGGACACACACACACACACACACACACACACACACACACACACACACACACACAAGTTTTTAATAATTGGTCCCAATTGTTCATCTATACTCAAACCACCAGCAAATCTCACTCACGTGCACTCCATTTTGCACACGTTTACATACCATTTTAAAAATGACCAACTTAGACTGCATTTCTCGGCTGAATCGAAGGCATTTGTGGTTTGATTTAAAGCATTATGGGTGTGAGATTAAACTGCATGTTGGTTATAAGAGAACTGTGTGAAGAGATCAGAATTTATTTTACTGAGGGATACCTTCGCTTGAACGTGCTGCTCCGTGGTCTGCTCCCGGATTTCAAAACATACCAACCAATCGGCTCGATTGGAATCTTTCTCTTGTATTACAAAAATAGCTCACTGAAATACAATACTGAAAACAGTTTGATTCAGTCTGCTCTCACCACATTTGTTGACCTCAAGTCATTCTTCCACTTTAATTTATCTGTGAAAGTGCAACCTGAGCATTCCTATTCATCTAAAGAAACATGATTCATTAAACCGCTCTTTAATATTCCCGCTTCCAGTGCATGGTGCTTGGTCTCGACATGTCACCGCCCGCGGAGGAGAAATAACATGCAGATAATGGAAGAGACTATTAGCGACGCCCCCTCCCCCGTCATTTCCTCATGGAGAACTCATTAGCTCTCACAGATATTGATCCTACCAGGGCAAGCCTCATTAATGGACTCCACCGATGAAGACCGGAGCTGATAAATGAATGCACTCTTCACTCAGCAGGGGGTCACTAGCAGTGTACAGCAAGGTAGAGGACAGTAGGGAGTGAATACACTGACTGAACAGTGAGATCATGCTGGATCATTACATACAAGTTAGAACTGATGTTTTTTAAGTAACTGCAGTGTTTATTTCAAGCAAGAGAGGTAGATGTGATAATGTCTCCTGTGGAGTTTCAGACTTCTAGGAGCACAAGAGAGAAGTAGACTCATTTTCTCATAGACTTCTATACAATCGGACTTGTTTTTAGATCCAGAGGTTGCCGTCTATTGCTAACAGAGCAATATGGAGGGAGACAGGAAGAAATGTGTGTTTGTATATTAGTGGGTTTTTATCTCCAAAACAATGCAGCTGAGAGCAAATTCGTTCAAAGGGAAACTTTGATGATTTTCAAGCGACTCTGCGTCACGTGAAGATGAAATGAGGACTTTTTGCCAGCGGGCGAGCGGAGGAGCTCCGGGCGCCGTTTCATCTGCAGTAACACGGAGCCGATTGAAAATTGCCAAAGTTTCCCTTTCATCTCTCCCCCGTCCTCCTCCTGATCTGACAACAGGTGAGGGAGGTGTGTGTGGAGTCCTCAGTAGCTCTAATGCAAGAGATTTGATCTCAATCATTGTAACTTTGCACCTGTCAAATATTGAGTTTCACTGTGAAACTCGTCCCAGTACAGAAGCTAAAGGCGAAGAAAACCCAAACGTTAAGATTCAGCACATGTAGTAATACATGAATGCAGAGGCCACGCCCACCGGAGAAAGAGAGAGGAGATGGGAGAACGAGTGAGGTAGAGGAAGAGGAAACTGTACTTTAGAGGGAGGAAGACAAAATAATGCACTGTTTACTCAACGCTGCACAGAGAGAGAAACAAACCAGTCGTGTGTGTGTGCTTTCCTTCCCGTTGTGTATCCGTGTGTGTGAGAATGTGCGAGCACTGTGTGTACTTGTTTTGTTTTTCAGACTTATTATTAGCATCCTTTTGTTTATTTTCCTGCATATTTGTTTCTCTGATTTAGTGTTCTTCCTCTCGTGTGTATGTGTGCTTTTTGACTTTCAAGGTGTTTGTGTGCCTCTGTCGGAGTCTGCATAACACTCTCACAGTGTGTGTGTGTGTTTAGTGCTCCCTGGTAATGAGCGTTTGTTCATCTCTGCATTTCTCTCTGGACTTTTTTGGCTTTGAATGTGGTTTGTGTCTCTCAAAATGTGCTTTCTTTTGTTTCTATGTGCATTTGTGTGTGCAATGATTTCTCTTGAGTGTGCGAGGTAACACAACCTATGGAGTGGTTGAACAAGGACAACAGGATCCAACCCAAAAGCAGCTGAATCTCTGCTCAATGTGCATTTCATTTTCCTGCATACTTGTCAACGTGTGTCACGTTTCTGTGTGTGTGTGTGTGTGTGTGTAGTATCACTGTACCTGCATGGCCTGAGGGGGGCGTAGACCAGATTAAGCGTGAGTGTTACGATGCCGGTCTCAGGGTCCCTCCTTGCTACCTCTATGGCGGCGGAGAGGCGGTCCTCCACCTCCGAGCGCTCCGATTTGCCGTCTGAATGAACCGTGCACAGGAAGTCTTCCGCCATCGCCCGGGTAACTGTGCAGAGGTGAGAGGTGGGACGAAGGTGCTGAGCAGGTGTGAGGACCACCAGAAGAAAATAAGAACTTACTTGCTGTACTTGAGCGGATCTAAACAACAACTTTGAGAAAGTAAAATGTTTATTTACATGCTTCTTTATTTTCTATTAGATGTTTTCGCAGCAATATGAAATAGATATTAGAGATGGAGTTATGACCTGTTTAACTTCCTAACACTAGCCCTAAGCAGCTTGTAATAAATAATCCATCCATCCATCCATCCATCCATTTTCCTCCGCTTATCCGGGGTCGGGTCGCGGTGTCAGCAGGTCAAGCAGGCCGACCCAGACCTCCCTCTCACCGGCAACATGTTCCAGCTCATTCTGGGGGATCCCGAGGCGTTCCCAGGCCAGCTGGGAGATGTAATCTCTCCAGCGTGTTCTGGGTCTTCCCCGGGGTCTCTTCCCAGTTGGTAATAAATAATGAATACTATTAATGCCCCCCCAAAAAATGTTTAGTCAAAGCAAATACCTGATTGCTGCCTGCTGTCTCAACTTTTCCCCATTTAATAATGTTCTTTGTTTCCAATTAGCTGCTGTAACTAATAACTGCGAAGCATAAATACGTGATCAACAATCAATCGCCCGCTGAGCTGAATCAGACAGATCCTGTCTCATCTCATCTTGTTATCGATGGAGTAACTGGATGACAATTAAAACAATCTCCTTCTTCATTAAACACACGGGCATTTTTACAGTGTCAGATTGACTCACATAAGAATGATACCCATCACTTTAATGCAGCAAGGACGAGTGATACACATTTTAAATTTCGGGGAAAGTGAGCACCGGTATTGGTATTGTGAGACACCCTGAGTTTTCTCAACAGAATCGCTATTGAAAGAGAAAAAGACAAATGGATGCATTTGATGTGTTTTGAAGTGTTTTCTGATATTGCAAGTGCACTCTGGAGTAAAAATCACAAACTGGCACAGACCTTCCTGTCCTTTCCGGTCTCCGTTCCCCGGCACGCACCCAGTGAGCAGTACATCCACCTTCCTTTCCAGCTGGCAGCCCGCTTCACAATAGAGCGCGCCAAGTGGAGAGTTGTCAACAGGCGACTCCATGGGAATCCCACGGATAGGGTAAATCCAACAGTTGGTTGGCCGTTCCTGCTGTGACCTGAAATATTAGATTTTTTTACACAGTATTTATACCGTATTTGGGATCAGCAATGAACCAGTACGGGATTTGAAAACATGCCAGGCATTTAACCAAAACGCAAGGAATCTTTGTCCATATATTACAAAAAAACAACAATATCTTCTGAACTCTTTTGGAAGACGTGTGTGGGTGTGATGTCTGAGTGACCGGTACAAATCAAGCTTTTAATGTCCTTCACGTCTGTTTCAACACTTCCCTGTTTTGTTGACAAGTAAGGCTAATTGAACTTTGTTTTGTTTACTGTGGCAGGCTATGCAGCAATGCCTGGGTGTAGGAACAGCAGATGCTAATGAGCTTTACTGAGATCCAGCACGGTCTCAGACAGCTTCTCATGCAGACAATGAGACACACACACACACACACACACACACACGCACACACACCTCACGTTGTCTGCACTGAAGGTACTGCTGCTGGGCTTCATCGTGATGCAGAGCCAGGCCTGTTGGAGCTCCATAGACTTGGGCGCAAACACTACAGGCACATTGAAACTGGCCCCTTCACAGATCTGTATACCTGCAGCCAAGATGGAGGACAGACATCAACACTTCATTAAAGTTGTGTTTCAGCAGCTGGCATACAAGGCTTTAATCTTGGTATTAGTAGATTTAATTATGTATTAAAAGCGAATTAGAGCTAGTGTTGAACTACGGTCTGTTACACCACTAATTACATATGGTTCGCATGTTGACATCTGCAAAACCATCAAGAATGATTTCAAACTATAAAAAACAAGCTTTGACTTGTAAGAAAACTTTCCTGTCGTCTCAGGTGGATATATTTCCAAGCTGATGAAGACTAACAGCTCTCCACACTCCTACTGTCAGTTAGTGAAGCCTTAGATAAAAGCACATTCAGCACAGCTTCCTTTGGATTTGAAGACACACTGAACATTTGCCAACAGATTTCAAGACTTAACCTTGAGAGGTTTGAGAAAATGTTATAACTTCCCACTGACTCATGATGGAAATATCTGAAAACAGCTGCCTACTGCTGCTGGAACAAGGGAAGAGCGGTGAAAATGAGCCAAAACAGTAAAAAGTTGCCTCCAGAAAACAAAGAGCTGAAAGATAAAAGCTGAAGGGAACTGCTGGGTAACATTCACTCACACACACACATTCAAACACTGATGGCAGAGCCTGCCGTGCAAGGTGCCACAAGCCCGTCAGGATCTAAACTAATTCACCCCAATGGCACAGCCGTTGGGGTTCAGCATCTTGCCTGAGGACACTTCAACAGAAGGACTGGAGGAGTGAGGGATCGAACCGCCGATCTTCTGAATGGAGGGCATCCGCTCTACCTCCGAGCTTTACACTACACATAGCCATTTGATCCATCGTCCAGAATAAAATATTTATTAGATGAGCTTTAAAAGCTTCTCTAAATGGAGTTCAGTGCTCATCTATTGCCTCCACATGGCTCTCAACATGGAGATGGATGCGCAATTCAGTTTTACTTTCATTTCATTTTGCTTTAAAGACAATAATTCGAAGTTGTCTGGTATTGTCTGGTAAAACAGCTTCATTGAACATTCTGTCATATTGTGGTGAAACTCCTATCAGTTAACACACCTTCAGTGTGGCTCAGAGGGAGAGAGAACACCTCCTTGTCCGTAGTGACTTGATGGCAGTCGGGGGCTCGACGCGGGTCCTCGTCTGAGAAGGAATACACACACAACATGAACATGTCCGAGTGTGTCACATGCCTGAGTAACAAAGTGTCCGTTATAGAAAGACACGGAGTGCCTGTGACCTGCGAGTGTGATACTGAGCACGGCTGGGAGCTCGGTGGTGAAGGGAACGGTGATGGAGGCGTTGGAGCCGATCGGGGATGAGATGCTCAGAGGCTCCTCGCTCTCAGGAACGAGGCCACGCCCACTCAACAACACACACGAGTCCTGCAACTGAAGTAAGACAGAGACGGATTAACACACACACACACACACACAAACGGCCAGAGGGAGAGAAATGAAGGAAATGAGAAGCATGAACGGAATACAGAGGAGGGAAGAGAAAAAGGATTGTCGTCACAGAAGCGTAGCCGGTCCAATGACATCTTGTTCTCATTTATCCAGAATAGTTGTTATGATTAAGGTCGCTTTCTGAGCTGATGCTTGGTGTTTCCACAGAGGGTCTACTTATTGTACCTTGTCATTGTTTATATTGTTTGCATCACCCAGAGCTAGTGAACAGCCTCCTGTGCCTAAAATGAAATGTACAGCGGGCCAATGAAAAGCTTTATGAGGTTCTCTGACTGTTCCAAGCGTCATGTGCATGATTTGGAGCAATGAGGCAGTAAATGAAATAGGAGCACCTCCTTAAACTAATTTCAGATGAAAAAGAAGTGAATTATCCCTGCATCCGTATGTGTGAAGGCTGGGGACAGTGATTTATGTAATCCATTTTCTCTCTGTTTGTGTGTGTTTATGTATACCTGAGGGCACGTGAAAGTGATCTTTGCCGCATGGTTCCCCTCTCCGATGGATGAAGGACTAAAACGGACACCAAGCTGGGTGGAGGAGTGGGGCTCAACAATAAGCTGGAACACACACACACAAGCAGGAAATAGCTTTCATGGGGACAGAAAGGAAGGATAAACACACGTGTTGAAATTCTTATAAATCACACTGCTGGGCAACACACAGCTTTCCATCCAGATGTACAGCACGTAGTTTCCTTCCAACTGACAACAAACTGTTTGTTTTTTTAAGAGATGGAATCCAAAAACAAAAACGATCAAACGTCCATTGAAGTACAAACAACATCAAAGATAATGATAAATCAATTTCCCATCAAGGGCAGGAGCAAGACAACATCAGACGTATGGTGTGACAAAATTAAGCTTTATTGTGAAATAATGGAATGGAATACTAAAGTGATGAAAGTAAGTGTGTATACTAACAGTATTTCCTGGTTCCATGTCCAGCGAGTAGTGTCTGGGGTTACTGTTGGCTACGATCAGCTCCAGAGTCTCGGCTGTTGGGTTAACGAGGGGAATGGTCTGGCTGGTCCATCTGACACAAAACACACGCACACACACTGTTTTATTCAGCAAGGTAAAGAAAATACACAATAAAAGCCCTATTTCAACCCTGCAATTGAAATACTGTGTGTCTTGGTGTGGGTGCACCTACTTGCCCATCTGACAGCAGGCCTGTGGGAGCTCGATGACAGGAGGCGGAGTAGCATAAAGCGCCAGCTGATACCAGAACTCCCCGACCAGCTCTGACTGGAACACCACACTGGAAAGAAAACGCATCAGACTAGATTGGTCAAAATAGACAAATACATTGCTGAGTATATTCCATTACAATGCTCACAACAAGGTCTGTAGAATATTCTATGTAACAATGAATGGTTATGGTTGCAAAATAGCCTCAGATTCAGGGGAAATATGTCTTTTTAGATTGATCACACACAATCATAGATTGGGTAGAGAAACTCTTTTTTCCTCCTCCTCTAAAGGAGGTTAGGTGAGTCTTACCTGCCTGTGCTCTTCCCTACTCTGCCAGGGGAGAACATAACTTTGTAAGTGAGAGTGTCCCGTGGGGGGATTGAAACCCGGTCGGCCCCGCTCAGCTCGTCTCCTTCCAGGTACACATCCAGCATCAGCGGCTCTCCATGTGGGTTTTTGACAGCGACCTTTATGGACACTGAGCTCTGGGAACACAGCATTTCAATGATGACACCTGTTTTTTTTCCCTACCCCTGTGATGTTCTGATGGTCTTTTGATCTTATTATAGAAGGAAGATTACATTTTTCGGTAACTGTCGCCAGCAGCAGAAACACTGCTTTGTAGCATGTTAACAATGTAATAATATGGAGAACGGTAGAGGGCTTTAAGAGAAGCACTTAAGAGTGTACTTGTGATTGCAGAACGTACCTGAGCAGCACATTGTACATCTATGACCTTGATGGGTGCTGCTGGCTCACAAATTATCTCTAGAGAGAAGTACACCTCGTAATAGCCGAGAACACTTCCTGGATGACAGGCACACACACACACACACACACACACACACACAGGAATCATTATGAATGCAAAAACCTGTGTTCCCACACGTAACATTCCAAAGTCTAGGCAAAAAACCTTTTCAGTTACTGTGTTTTTGAGTTGTAAAAGTGCACTAAGCTTACCTTTGTGCTCGTCTGCGTCCTGCATGTCAACAATTTCTTGAAACGAAACACATCCTGCAAGAAAAGTTAAGTGTTCCATTTTTTTATTGTTTGTTTAACTTTTGTAATTGTTGATTTAGGTTTGATACAATTCATGAATCCATCATAGCCTGCCTTCCCTGTTACATACAAACAAACCTAACAAACACGCAGTGAGGGGGGGGGGGGGGGGGGGGGGGGGGGGGGGGGGGG